TAATTCATAAAGGGATTTACTAAATGAGAGCTTTAATACTATTAATGATATCTTTAGAGAGAGAGATATTTACAGAATTTTTGTAATAATTAAAAACAATTTCTAAGGCAATTAATTATTTATATTTAATTTAATTTAAGGATTACCATTTCGTCGTTCTGGAGCATGTCAATTTAATAATGGAGAACAACATTTACAACAAAATCCTTTTAATAATTGTTATTTTACACCTCCAACAATTCCAAATAATATTAGATATGATAATAATACACAACAACAACAACAACAACAATTATTATTTTCGAATGATTGGATAGTTAATAATAATAATAATTATTTACCTCAAGTATTTAAATATAAATTTATTTTTTTATTTATTTTTAGTCATCTACTAATATCCAATTAAATTCAATAAATTCCTCAATTCCTCCTTATTCTTCTTCAATTAATAATAATCAACAAATGATTTTAAATTATTATCACAATAATACACCAATGCAAATAAATCAGGAAATGTCTTTAGAAACATTTACACAAGAACAACAAATTAATTTAATACAAAAAGGTGAAAATAAATTAGTAGAAATTTGTTGGAAATTCCAATCAGGCATCCAGAAATAACGGAAATTGGAAGTGAAAATCGGAATTTCGACCCTACACATATTATGATTAATTCTTTCATTAATTTTTGTTAATCGAAGGTATTTACCCAAAAAGTATTTTCAATACAGGCCCTAGGGAGCTTAAATATTTTTTCAAATACTGTAACCTCATTTCCCGTTGATTTTTGAGATTTGGAATCTCAATGAATAAAGCAAGTACAGACTTCGTTTTTTCTCTTTTTCCATTCATTATCAATGGAAATATTTATAAAAAATTTGTGATTTTTTTCGCTTTGTTTTGGAACCAAAAAAATTTTTTTCCTACAAGCGGCATAAACTTTTGCTCCCCCAAAATGTGAAATAAATAAGTTATGACCGAATAAATTTTGAATAACGTGGTTATTAAAAATTTTTTTTATGGATATTATAAAGAGATGAACTATATTTAATTAATAAATATTCGATTTAATTTAAGTCCATTTCCTTCCTGAGATAAATCGACTTTTCTGCGTGCGAGGTGTAGCGGCATAAACTTTTGCACCTTACTGTATTAAACAAAATATAGATAAAAAATTTTATTAAAATTAAAAAATTTATTTTAAAGAAGAAAATAATGTTGTAAAAACTGAAGGAGGAGAAGTACAATATGGAATTACTAATTCAATCCCTAATATTTTTCTTCAAAGTCGTTCACCTTTTGAAACATTTTGTACCGTCCCAGGTACCAAAAACTGATTTTTTTTGTAAAAATTAATTTTAGGAAGAACAAGTTTATTAAGTAGTACAACTAAACATAAAGTAACTGTTGGGGAAATTCAAAGGAGGATAAATCCTCCAGAATGTCTGAATGCTTCTTTAATTGGGGGAATTCTTCGAAAGTAATTTTTAAAGAAAATAAATTTAAAAGAATTTATTTTTAAAGAGCAAAATCTAAAGATGGAGGGAAAGCTTTAAGGGAATCATTAAAACGAATAGGGTTAAGTTTACCTGCTGGAAGAAGAAAATCTACTTGTGTGACTGCTTTTACAGCGTAAATATTTGATTAAATTCCTTTCAAGAAAATCTTTCGATAAGGAAGTTTAATACAGACCTGGTCAAGGATAATGATCTTGGTATCCGTATCCGCATATTTACGGCGGATACAGGCGGATATCCGCAGGCATTTTTATATTATCTGTATCCATGGGCAGGTCTGGTTTAATATATTAATGGCTATAACTAGTGTGTAAGAACGGAATTCGACGAGTTTCTTTTTTCGGCCTTTTTGAAAATGCCGGGATGAGAAACCAAGAAAGGGAAAATTAAAATGCAACTTGTTCGCATTTTTATACGCGCCTTGTTTTTTCGGCTTCTGCAAAAACATGGTTAGCCAATCCTAAATTCGGTTAGACCAGGGCTCCGATCGACAAAATGCCACTCAAAAGTATCAAAATCTTGTAAAAAAAGTACATAGGGAGAAAATTTACAAATAAAAAGTACGCTCAAAATTAAATTTGAAAATATTTATTCGTGATCAGATCTTTTATATTTCTCTCGTAAATTAATCTTTTCTAATAATTTCTTGTTTCAACTGAGCATTTTGTTGACATTTCAAAATTTGCTGTCATATGAAGCAAAGCTCTGACAGTCTTAACCTCAAGCGAGTTTCTTTCTTTCGTCCATTGAATGTTTGCCATTGAGAAGCGCCGCAGGCGAAAATTTTTTGAAATTTGGAGCCTAAGAAGCCAGATTTCTTCCATTTTTTGCGCCGCAGGCGAAAATTTTGAGAATTTTGGAGGTCCTTAAGCCAGATTTCTTCCATTTTTTGCGCCGCAGGCGAAAATTTTGAGAATTTTGGAGGTCCTTAAGCCAGATTTCTTCCATTTTTTGCGCCGCAGGCGAAAATTTTGAGAATTTTGGAGGTCCTTAAGCCAGATTTCTTCGTTTTTTCAAAAATGTTGATAAAAAAGTACATACTTTCAAAAAAGTACAAATTCAATTTCGGAAGTACGAAGGTCGATAAAAAAGTACAATACTTTTAAAAAAGTACGAATCGGAGCCCTGGGTTAGACACGTTTCCGTGTACACGATTCCGTGCACACGTTTCCGTGCAGGCACGTTTCCGTGCGGGCACGATTCCGTGCACACGTTTCCGTTATAAAAAACACGTTTCCGTGCCCAATTATTTAAATATTTTTATTTTTTTTAAATTTTTATAAAAAAATTTTAAAAGTTATATTTTTTATCAACTTTGCTTCAGTATTTTTCTTTTCAATTCAAAAAATTTACGCGGAAAAAAGTTTTTGCCGCTGCGGAGGAAGCCGGGCATGTCGAGCGGAACGACGGCCGCCGCTTCGCTACGGTCGTCGCGAGCGTAGCGAGCACGACCGCAGCGAAGCACGGCCATCGTGTAGCGAAGACCATGCCCGGCCTACCCTCCGTAGCAGCACAAAAACAGTTTTTCCAGCGAAGATTCTATTGGTCATAGGTTAGAAGCAGGGTTCTTCTAATTTTTTTAAAATAAAAAAAAATTTTTTTGAGATTTTTTCCTCCATATCCATCAATATCCCCTTGTTGATGTCTCGATGTCATGCACAAGTCCCTTGATATTCACTGTACTCCTCAAAACCTTTTCTTATTGTTTATTATATTAAAAAGAAATTGAGCACGGAAACGTGTTTTTTATAACGGGCACGGAAACGTGTGCACGGAAACGTGTGCACGGAAACGTGTGCACGGAATCGTGTGCACGGAATCATACCCCACCGTCCTAAATTCATTTCTGCAAGTGCAGTATCTCTTATGTAAGAGAGATTCTGAATTGCAGTATATGCTCAAATAATTACCCTCTCTCGAATACTTGACCTCTCTCTCATTAAATTACCTTTTCCAGTGAAAGATTGAAACAATAATTACCCAGAGTATTTATTTGAGCATATACTGTAATACAATGAAAACAAAAACAAATACAATATTTATTATGTACAACTAGACAGACTTAATGCAATACAAAACCCAATATTTATGAAAACAATTTAATATGTTTTATCTATTGCATTCAATCTTCTACTACTAATACTTCTTCTTCTTCTTCCATTTGCTCATCTTTAAGTTCACTTTTCTTCATATATTCATAATATTGTTTGATTAAATCCACATCAGGCATTTTATATCCAATCACTTCACTAAGTGTAGAATCTCCAAGCTTAGGGAAAAAATAAAAATTTTTTAAAGAAAAACAAAGAAAAATGAGTTAAACTCACAAATTCTTTATCTGGATCTCGAGAAGCGCTCAACGCCGTTAATGTTGTAATTGCAGAGAAGAGAGGCCTCCCAGTGCGCATAAGAAAGCCTGATGATGTTTTTTGAGTACTTATTGCAGCTAACGACTGTTTTGTGGTAGTTTTACTTCCTTCTTTTGAAGGGAATGTCCATTCTTTACTAACTCCTTGGGGTGCATCAACACGTTCATAGCCTTTGCTATCGCGGAGTGTAGCACCATGATGCCCAGAATGTGATGGTTGCTTTGCATGAAGTGATGGGTGTGTTCTCTGAAATTATAAGTATTCGAGAATGTTTTGAGAATTGAAGAAAACTCGAACCCTTTTTGCCTTTTTCTTCTTCTTTTTACAACAAGCAGCAGCTAAGAGAAGTGCAACTCCAAAGATTAAAAGCCATATAGTGACGAGTTCGAAGCGCCAAAGTACTAAAAGATAAGGATAAACGAAATAAAAAAATGAAATTAAGTACCGCGTAGTAAGAATTGAAAATGGTTGGGATAGACCATGACGTGTTAGAGAGATATTAGAAGGGATGTGTAGATAAAGCTGAGAAACTTGGGGCTTAAATACTGTAGTTTATGTACACATTAGAGACCGGTGCAGGACGGGATCCCGACGGAATCTTCCGGGATCCCGAAATCCTGGATTTTTTGATTTCCGGGATCCGGGATTTTTTCATGATTTCTCCCTCAGGATCCCGTCCCAGCATCGGTTAAGAAAAAAATCCCGACTCGGGATCCCGGAAGTGCGATTTTGCCGGTCTCTAGTACGCATGTAGATAAATTAAAAAAATTTTTATTAACAGCTTCACGTATGTTTTAATAAGGCTTTAAGTTATTTCGAATATTTTGGATGTACATATTTCTCTAAATTTTTTGGAGTGTTATTGACAACCCTAATTCATACCTCTAGCTATTAATGGGGAGCGCTAACTTCTTACATGGATTAGCACATATCTGAACTAAATTTCATTATTTTCAGACTTGTCGAGGAAGAAGCTTTACATTTGGTTAAAAATTTAAAAAAATAAAAATAATTATTTTTTCAAGGCCAACGATTTCCGTATAGTTTTACAACGAGAATTTCCAATTAGAGATTCTGCACTTTATTTAAATAATCGTTTTATCCAATTCTCTAATCAAACAAATGATAATGAATTAATTAATAGACGTAGAACAATGCTTAGTTTTGCTAGGTAAAGGAATCTAAAAAATTCTTTTTTAAACACTTTTAAATAATTTTTTAGAATGTTTTTAAAAGAAATTACTGAATTAATGAGTGCAGATCGAAGCCCTATTGTAGATAGAAGACCAGAACTTATTTTAGATCCATCCATTCAAAAACGTCTTACTCATTTCTCTTTGGTAAGTCTTAAAATATGATTGCTCGAGCCCTACTTGAACGACCCTACACTCCAAAATATTAACTAATTAATTCCCAATTTTTAGATTACACATGGATTTGGTGGAATTGCAATTGTAAAATATTAAAATAATTAAATATACATATTATTTTTAAAAAAAGTTAGCTGTTTTGGAAGCACTAAATGGTTGTATTGGCGAATCTCTTAAATCATTGGAAAAAATGCTTCAAAATAATAATATACAAATTCAAAGTCAACCAACAACAGAGACATCAAGTGAAAATAATACAAGAATAAATTTATTATTTAATCACCAAAGCAATCAAAATATCTGAATTTATTTTAAATTTTTAAATAATTTTTAGTATTAGAGACGGGACTTGGAGGGTTAAGGGGGAGAACCGAGAGAGATAACTCACAAAATTTTTTTGACGAGAGAGAGAGATACCTTGAAAACTGTCAACCTCGGTAACTGACAATGAGTTTTTCTCGAAATCTCATCTCTTCCTGTCTCTGATTTTTAGTCCCGGAAAGTCAAAAACATTTATTTGAGAAAATTAAAATCTTGCTAGAATTTATTTCCTTCAAATTGTAATAAAATTAAAATCACATTTCTAAAAAGCAAATAAATGGCAAGTCGAACCTACTTAAAGCGATCGTAATTCAAATAATTTTTCGATAAAAAATGTGGACATGTTTATGATAGGTCTGACTTTAGTACACGAATTATGCAATGCCTGAAAAGTATTTTTAATAGTCAAGGGGAACATTTCTGTCTTTAAGAATAGTATTTTTGTTTAAGGCTATAATTTTGAAGTTTAGAATATTAAATATAACGACCCTCACTTTTACTTACTTCCCAATAATAGATAAACGTTAATTTAAGGTATATTTTTTAAATTTGTTTGGAGGAAGCTGCTTAAGCAATACCACATGAGTGTATGTAAAAGTGAGAACCGCCATATTAAGTAGAACCAAAAAATGTTTTAAAAAACTCCAAAATCCTATAAAAAATGTTGGAAATATTCCAAAAATATCTGTTAATTATGTGACATAAATTGGGAATATTTTAATTAATTTAAATTCGAAATTTCACATCAAAATACAATCCTTTTCCTTCTTTTCTTGTGGTGGATAATGTGGATAACTTCCTTCACTTCCAGTATTGCCAGCAGGATAAGATGAACTTCCAGCAGGATAAGGAGCCGCTCCAGTTGGGTAAGGCGAACCGCCGGTTGGATATGGCGAAGCGCCTGGATATGGTGGTGCATTCCCTGCCCCTTGCTGAGGATTCCAACCATGGCCTCCTATAAACTTGCGATTTTTAGAAAATCTTCAAAAAACTAACCTCCAGCATTCGGGTACGGTGTACCTCCATATTGTTGTTGATTTGGAGCCGGATAAGCTGTCGCTTGGGCATAAGGTGGAGGAGCAGTTGTATTCAATCCTCGAATGCGCAAAATTCTGACATGAGTTCCTGTAGGTGGCATTCCAGGCAAAGGCTCGTCGAAATCTCCCCATAAATAGACATTTCCTGTAATATTAAAATTTTGTGAAATTTTAGACTAGGTGAAGAGGCAAAAAATATTTTAATTTAAAATCACCAGAATTAGCAGTAGTTAATCTTGGCTCAATTAAAGGCACAGGCATTTGTGCAGGTACTTGATTCCATTTAAACGTCGTCAAATCCAAAACCCAATAATCAACTAAACGAACAACACCACCCTCCCCATAATCAATTTCTCCGCCAGCCAAAAGAATAAAGCCAGAAATTGAATCAATTGCGGCTTGTTTACGAGGCGGGGGAAATCCTCTTGATGGATCAGCATTCATATATTGAGTACTGAGAGGACCACGAGTACTTAAATTCAGAATATGCACACGGCTGTGATCAAAATGTCCATCGGGACTTGAAGAGAGAAAATACATATTTCTGAAAATTATTTTTTATTTACCCAAACTTCTTCAAAACAAACCCTCGACTAACAAATCCATCATAAAAATGTGAAAGTTCAGATCCTGGCACCGAAAAACGATCCATTGGTTCTTGTGGAGCACTCGCCTCTGCATTGATTTTAACAACATTAAGACCAGGACCGTGAACAACAACGAGTTGGGGCTCATCTTCCCGCATTGTACAAATAAATTCTGAGTCGATAACGATTGGAGCAGTAAGCAAAGAATGTGGATCAGCCATTAAAGACATTCCATCATAATTCATATTAACACGCCAGACATGCATCTAAATAAAGGAAAGGGACTTCTTACACATTATGGGGGTAAATTACGGAGGTAAACACTTAAAATTTGTCAAGCTATTAGAGGTGCCATTCAATTAAAGAGAATGCGGTAATTTGATCATAAATATGTTCTTACGGACAATTTGTCAGTTGGAAGAGAAAAATAATCGGTCTGAACGTTCGACTCGGACTGACAGTCTGAGTCGTCCGAAATAAAAATAAACTAACCACAAATTGCCCATAATCCTCAGATTGTGTAACTAATGCAAAAGCAGTTCCACCACTTGGAGATGGACTTTTCAATGCAAAAAGGAATTTAACACGGCCTAAACACGCAATATTTAACATTTCTAAATTCTTAAATACCTTGAACACGTAAATTTATTTCCCCGACAAAACATTTTCGATTAGTATCAAAAACAACTAAACAAGTCATTCCTTTCCTGCCACCACTAAAAAAATTAAAAAAAAGAATATTTTAGATATTAAAAGATAATTTTCAGTACGTTGTATAGCAAGTATCGTCAGCAATTGGATCATAAAGAAAATAAAGTTTGCTTGTGTCTAGAGATTCTTGTACATCCTGAAAAACAGAAAGTCGCCATTTTCCATATTGTTGGTCAAGGGAATCTGGTGCTTGTCCCCACGGAACAGTTATATCTTCAGTGTTTACTTGCATTTAAAAAAATATTTCTGAAATGAAAAATAAAATTTAATTAATTAAGAAGGAAAAGGACGTTAAAGTTTTTAAAATCTTAGTGAATATTAAATGTGAACATTTCTTAAAAATAAATGTTCCTTTTGATAAATGATTTAGAATTTAATCAAACATTTTCTATTCAGCGAGTAAACAAAAAAAGGAAATAGTAACTAAAGAAGTGTTTTTTCCCTAAATAAGTGCGTATAGAACTTTCAAAACAAGTGAAGAGGGGGTGACATGACTGAAAAATAAAATTTAACTGCAAGTGTGATCCGGCGCAAATTTCGTTCCGCAAGTGTCGGGTACAGCGAGATGACCTTGATATATTAACAATTTTATTGCTCTCGACTCTCCTCAAACATTATTATGATTTCATCAAAAAATAACCATTTATGCCTTTTTATGAAAGAAAATAAACCTTCCTTCTCTCATCTCCCCATCTGTTAATAAATATTGATTATTTTTAGAAAAACTAAAAAATGTAAACAATGAGTCATAGGGGAAAATTTTGAAAAAATATTTTTCAAAATTTTAAAATATTTTATGTAAGGGAGCTTTAGAAAATACAAATCTAGGAAAACAGAAATTAATAAACTTTAAAGATGCGAAGATTTTTTAATAACCAATCAGGCAATAAAAAAGATGAAGAAAAACCATTGAAAGCAAAACTCTTAAATTATAGAAAAAATAAAAAACAAACATTATTGGCAAAGGAAACACAAAAACAAAATTTATTAGAACAACAAAAAACACAAATTAATAGAAATGTTTCTCCAGCAAATTTATTTGAAAAGGTTTTTGAAAATTCTGTGAATTAGCGTGTTTCTTCTAATAGTGCGACTCCTTCTATTAGACCGGCCCTTTCCAATAAATCTCTTAATCCATCGATAGTTTTATAAACGAGGTTCTTCCTTTTTTAGCGCCGCAGGCGAAAATTTTGAAGAATTTGAGGGCCAAGGTGCCTTTTTCTTCCTTTTTCAGAGGCGAAAACACCTTAGAGGGAGGGTGAAAAATAAACCAACTCTATTAGACCGGCCCCTTCTAATAAACCGACCCCCTAGAGGAAGGTTGAAAAATAACCCGACTGGTCGCACTATCAGAAGAAATACGGCATTTCAAATTTCGTTTTTAGAATCAACCCCCTCAACAACAACAAACAAATCAAAATCAACAAACCTCAACAGAAAATGTACAAAATAATGAAAATAAAATAAAATCAGAATTACTTCAATTACCAAAACCGGCGTGGAGAAATGTTTTAGAAAATTTTGGTTTTGATATTTTAGATAATTACCCAATGAGAAAATGGAGGGAATTTTGTTCAACAAATCCATTAATGTGTTGGATATTTACTGGAATTACTTGGGCAATTTGTTCAGTTTTTAAATAAAAATTTATTTTTTTTTAAATAATTTACAGGTCAATATTTGGCTGCTAAAGCAGAATTTGGCTTTGTTTTCCTCGCAATTTTTTTGTTACTTTTAATTCTTTTAAATCTTGGAATACGTGAAGAAGGGGAACTATCTGCTTATTCAGTATTTAATGAAGATTTTATAAGATTGGAAGGGGAATTGACGAGTGAAGATTTTGAAAGTGAAATTCTAATGAGGAGGAGAGTAACAAAAACATTAATATTTTAGATTTTTGTTGTGTTGTTTTTTATTTCATTGTTAGATGGAAGTATTTATTATAGTTTAATTATAACTTCTTATAATTTATGACCCAAAAAATTAAGTAAAGTCTAAAGTGTTTGGTCCTCATTATCTGACATTTTAAATGGGGTGCGCCCCGTACCCCGACGATTTTTTTTGGCAAAAACCCCGACACTTCCGACCCCGAAGTGTGGGTGCTACACTAAGGGGTACTACCTAATTTAAATAGGTAGGGGTGCTACTTCGTGGCGCCACCCTAATTTTAAATATTAAAAGTAATTAGGATTACTTCTCTAACATATGTATTTATTCATTAATGACAAACAGGTACATACAACTATTATTTTAAAGATATCACAGAAAATTTAAAGTATTTTTATAAAGTAAAATAAAAAATTCAATTATGCCGGATGGATACCCAAATAACGAGCAACAAAAACTCGAATTATGCTTGCTAAATTTTCAATTGTAGGGTTATCTAAAACATTTACATCATCCTTTGGTGAATGCCAAACATCAGGAAAAGGCATAGGAATTAACTAAAATATTAACTTTATTTTTAATAAAAATTTTAAATTTACATGCATAACAGGAACTCCTCTATGTAAAAATGGTATATGATCGTCTTCGGCTGCACTATAGGATACTCCAGGGAAGAAAATACGTGGAAGCTTGTTTATTACACCCAAACGGCTCAGATCGGTTTCTGTAAAAATATTTGGTTTAAATTAAAAATATTTTTAATAAAAGAATTTTTGGAGAGTAGGATAAGAAAAATGCAGAATCAGAAATTTCAGAAGAAATTTAAAAAATTCACTTTTAGATTACTTTTATGCGGAGGCGAAAGATATAGTCCTTGATTGTGTGGACAGAAAATAAAAAGCTTTCAGTAGACCCGCACGATAAAAATTTTCTATATTTGAAAATTTCACAGGGCTGTCCTAAAAACGTATACCCGTTCGTTGGGTACCAACTATCTTTAATTATTAATAAATTTAAACCGATGCGTGGAAGATTTTGAAACAATTTTTCACTCATATGTCCAAAGCTATACTGTATTCTAGGCTTTTTAGCACCCAGCAGATCAAGTAAAACTAGTACATCCTAAAAAAGAATTAAATTTTAAAAAAACTTTTTGATTATTTTTCACAATTCTATCAAGTTCTCTTCCCAGTACAAAGCCACTTCCATCTGTTGTTGGATACCATTTTCGTTCCCAAGTTTTAGCAAGAGCTCTAGCACCATAAATTGAATCGTGATCAGACCATACGCGAAAAGCTTCCTCGCCGTCAAAAAATATCAATTGCAAAGTTATATGCTAGAAAAAATTTTTTTCAACTATTTAAAAGGAAATAACCTGGTTATCTCGAAAAGAAATCCTTTTTTGAAGCGTTTTTGCAATATCTAGTAAAAGTGCGCAAGGTAAGGCAGAATCTGTTGCACCAATAAAAACTTGTCTAAAATTTAGAAAAATTATTTTAAAAATTCAAAAAATAAAAATTTACCCTGGCAATATTTTAGAATCATAATGACAGGCCAGAACCAGTCGCCTATGGACCCGAGGATTAAGTGTAGCAATTAAATTGTTGAAAGTTTTCTCTCCATATGGTGTCATCATTGGAGAACTGTCCCATTCTGTCGTAAATCCAAATTCTTCTACTTTTGTTTTCAAGTACTTAAAATAAAAGAATAGTAAAGGATGGTAATTTCAAGACATACCTGTCCAACTTTTTTATGCTCCTCAGTCCCAACTTGACGTTCTACCAGAATTGGTTGAAGCAGGGATCGGATAGAGACAATATCTGTCAATGCTGCCAACTGCTTCAGTTCATCATCATTAAGAGCAACGAGCGAGTGTTGCTTCTGAAAAGTTTGACAGATGTGAGCACAAAACAATAAAAATTTACTTGATTTACTCGCCAATGAGCCAGTGCTTCAGAAAATGTTGTAAACAAATTAATAAGAATTAAAAGAGTAAAAAGTAATTTTAGAATAGAGCGAAGAAATCTTCGCATGAGAAATTGCAAGAATTTTTGTCCAATCCAACAAGTGGATCTAAAATATTGAAAAATTCAAAAGTATGTTTATTAAAATGTGGAGGAAAAAAGGTCAATGAAAAATAAAAGCAACAAAAATCAAAAAGGAAATTTTTATGCTTTCCATAACAAATATTAAAACAAAAAAAGTTTCAACCATATTTTATTATTATAGTTAAATTAAAAACATTTAAATATTAGATCAATTCGAAAATATATGAAAAGAAATAAAGAAATCACAAATAAAATAAAAATATACAAGTTTATAAAAAAATCTGAAAAATCAAGGGGATTTCCATAGATAAAGGGGAAAATAGCTGGGGAGATTTACGAAACAAAAATTATGCCTTAAATAATTTTATTTTGTTGCATCTGCTTCATCAACAATCCATTTTGAAGAATTGAGGCCAAATTATGTTCACTTTTCTCAGATTCAGAAACTTTAGCCAAATGGAAATCAAGAACTTTCTGAGAGTTTGGATTGAGTTCAGAGAATTCTGCGATATTTTCAAGTAGACGAGCGCAAAATTCATTTGGGTTGATTGAATTAAAACAATGACACTTAAAAAGTTTGATAAAATATTTAAAATCAGATAATCTGTCTAAAAAACCTTTAAAGAACTAAGCCCATATTGCTCAGCCATTCTGTACTTAAAAACAAAACATTTTCGACTATCTTCTATAAGAGACCACTTGCAGATCGTATTTATCACATAATTGAAGAATGGTTTCAACATTGTTGTCTAAAATAAAATTATAAAAGATAAAAATATTTCTACCATCAGCATTCTTTTTTCCACCAGCAGCATTGTCTGGAACTCCACCGGCAACAATAATTGCATTGGCAACTAAAATTTAAAAGCATTAGCAAAATTTAGGTAAATACGAAATAACTAACCATCTCCAATTCCAAGATGAGCCTCAATTCGTCCCACACGGTATTCAAGAAGTCCCATTCGGTCTAGAAGTTCACGTACATCTCGTCCCTGATCACGCAAATCTTGTTCCTGAAGTCGAAGCATCCTCATCAGCGTGTTGAATTGAAAAGTAGAATTCACCCTCATCATACGCAATTCGTCCTTGATGTAGAATCCAAATTCTAACTAAAATTGCTGGAATTAAATAAGATTTTTAATACACATATCCTAGATTATTTAAAAAGCCTATAGATATTTTGTTTGGTCCAGGTTTACATAATGCAGAAACGGAATAAGGTTAAAAATAATTTCGAAAACAAATGCCGTTTGTTTTCGAAATATTAGAAAAAAAATATATCAGAAAAGAATAATATTAAAAAAGAAAAATAACTATAACTGAAGATTTCGGCTCACCAATTGGAGTAAATATCTTTAAAAAACCAATATTAAAAAACTTAAAAATTCAAAAAAACCTTCCCTTTTGATTCCATAATCAAAATTTGTTGGATTCGAAGGAACCCCTAGCCGGTCATACCAAATTTGAGCAGGTCCAAATCTCCAAGGCGGAGCAGATTCTTCATCTTCCTCATTTATTTGTTGTGATTGCTTATTTTTGTTTAATAATTCTTCCAAATTTTCTGCACAAAGTAATTCCTTAAAATAAAATTGTTTTAAAATAAAAATTAAACGAAAAAGTCCGCAAATATAAAAATCTGCAAATTTAGTCCGCAAATATTAAAAAAATTTTTCTCAAACAAATACTATTTTCCTGGTGAAAAAATAAACGAAAACACGGTTATTTTCTAAAAGTCCGCAAATATTAAAAAATTTCCTAAAAATTATTGAAAAAAACAAACATATTCATCAATTAGACAATCCTTCTTTTTAGGTAAACGGCTTAATTTAAAGTCCCAACCATTTCATGTTCAGCTGATAATTTGTTGTTTTTTCTCCCTTCTTTTTAAATGTTCTAGAAGTCCACAAAATTTGTTTTTTAAGTGAAGCTTTGGCATTTGCAAAAAGCCTCGAAAAATGCAAAATCCCGCTTTGATCGAAATCAGGGAATAATGAACTAAAATTAGTTTAAAATTTATTAAAAAATTAAAGAAAAAACTTGGATCAATATCATCCAACTCTGGCGGTATTATCGCAGCAAGTGGGGCATCTGCTCTTTAAGATGGAGAAATAAATTCCGAAGATATTTTAATTGGTTGTTTCTCTGCATTTCTACTGGTGTTTGTTATAAGATTTGGAATTGATCCAGGATGTACAAAAGTAGCTTCTTCCGACATTAGTTAAATATAAACTAAAATACAAATTAAAAAAATAAGTAAGGGGGATAAGAAAGAGATCAAAAGACCCAAAAGGAGAGGATGTTTTATGTCAGTTCGCAAATGTCGTCTTGCCTTGGATTTGACGGCCCACCCTCTCAATGCTATTTCTTCTTTGTCAACAGATACAGCCCGAGTAGGCGCAGCCATAACGGCGTAAAGCCATAATTTGTTTTAGGATGTCCGAATTCTTACCAAATTTAGTATTAAACGATTCCTCTCATCGAGCTAAAGAGATCGGTACCAAAGTTGATAAGGACCAGAAATTTTCCAGCTAGTTCTGGCTTTGCGCCGTTGTGGCCGCGCGCCTTGTCCTCTGTCAACAGGGCTGACCCGCTGTTGCTGTCACAAGGCAAACGAAAAAATCGATGACTGCGTATATTTAAACTAGCAAAAATGCTTTAAAGAGAAGCAGTTTTTTGTTTTTCTATCAAAATAAAAAATTTTTAAACAAAATTTCTTGAGATTATTGAAATCCCCGTTATACACTCTTTGATCCCTTTATATTTTTAGAGTCAAAATTGGCAAAATCCTCTTAAACAACAATTTTTGGAACGTCTTAAACAATGTTAAAATTTGAACTTTTAAATATTTTTTTATTTCAACATCCTAAAGATAGACTTGACGAAGAATTGGTTCGTTAGATTAATTTTTTTTAATTTTGGAATTCTTAAACTATCAACTAAACCCCTTTTAATTAAATAACCCGTCATGTTTTTAGGATACAAATCAAATTTATGTTATTAGAGGTGATCAATTTTTTGACAAGCCTGAGGATGAGACGGAAGAATATTTTGTTTCTGAGCCGCATGAATTCGATTATTGTGACTATTGGGTATCTTTTTTAAAATTAGAAAAAAATTCTCGGTTGAAACTGACTGACATAAAAAGATAAATGTATAAAAATCACTGAAAAATAATAGATTTCTTCAAAATTACTGAGATCCATTATCGGACTCAAATAGGCTCTTTTTTCTTTTTACCACTTTGATTTTCTCGCGGAATTGGCATTTTTATTTTATTTGCATTTTATTCTGGAAATTTTTTCTAAAGGATCATTTTTTTGTTTGACCTTCTCAATTTTTTCATTTTTTTTGACATCCTTTATTATTTAGGTTGATTTTTATTTCCAAATTATTTTTTAAAATAAGAATGACATTATTTGCGATATTTTTTTGTGGTCATGCCGGACTTAATTATGTCAGTTTTAAAAATAGGCTTTTAATTAGTAAATGAAATTTCTTTTTCTTTTAAGAATATCCCTGAATTGCGCTACAACCGGAACAAATTCTTTTCTGATGACAATTGTTTTGGAACGAAGCGGTTTATTGAGTATCGTGATTTTGTATGTATTTTTACTTAAACCTAGAATGAGTTTATATTGCGTAAAGAATTGATTTTATAAATTTATATGTGCTCATACACATGTCTGTTACCGGGTTGGGCTTATGCGAAACGGCATGTGTTTTCGAAATTATTTTTAACCTTATTCCGTTTCTGCATTATGTAAACCTGGACCTAACAAAATATCCATAGGCTTTTAAATAATCTAGAATATGTGGATTAAAAATCTTATTTAATTCCAGTAATTTTAGTTAGAATTTGGATTCGACATCAAGGACGAATTGCGTATGATGAGGGTGAATTCTACTTTTCAATTCAATACGCTGATGAGGATGCTTCGACTTCAGGAACAAGATTTGCGTGATCAGGGACGAGATGTGCGTGAACTTCTAGACCGAATGGGACTTCTTGAATACCGTGTGGGACGAATTGAGGCTCATCTTAGAATTGGAGATGGTTAGTTTTTTTTGTATTTATCTAAATTTTGCTAATGCTTTTAAATTTTAGTTGCAAATGCAATTATTGTTGCTCGTGGAGTTCCAGACAATGCTGCTGGTGGTGGCGTCCCAGCTAATGCGGCTGTGGTAGCTGCCCCAGCTGGTGGTGGTGGACAAGCTAATAATGTAGCTGCTGCTCCAGTTAATCGTGTTGACCCAGTTGAGAATGGCCTTAATAATTGAAGAAAAATTTTTTTCAAAAGGAATACAACGCTTTTTTCTATTTAAAATTATTTCAAATTTAATATTTTTTAATTAAATAAAATTTCGCATTTTTTGTTGGACCAACAAATATTAGGGTTAGATCCCAAATTTTTTTAGTTTATTCAAACAAGAAATTTAAAAGCTTTACTTATTTAATTTGTTGTCCTTCACTTTCGTATGCATCAATAGTTGTAGATTGGTGGCTTGCTTGTCCACCCATTAAAAACATTTATCAAACCGTCAAAACGGAGATGAAAAGAGATGAGCAAAAAAAGATTAGTCTACTGGTCTCCCTCCAAAAAATTTTTTCCTTTTAATGTTAATCCTGGCTGCTCTTGTCTACATACTTTTGTTTAATATTTTAATTCCTCTAGGTTTTCTGCACAAAGTTGTTTTTTGAAATAATTATTGGATTTGTCCCGTTTGGTAGAATGTGGAAAAATTTTTTCTAAAATCCGCAAATTTTTCTAAAATTTAGGCAAAAGTAATTTAGGGAAAGTAGCCTTAAATATAAGGACACCTCTTCAAGCAATTATCTTGAATACCCAAACCCTCTCAAAAATTAAAAAAAATCATAAAAATATTTTTAAAAACAAACTTAGGAAAATCCGCAAATTTAAATCCGCAAAGTTTTGCAGACCTTTCATATCTTCAATATAAAATGAAGTTTGGCCGCCGTCATATATAGTGTGACTGAAACCTACGACCTGAAATGAACTGATCCAAAAATAAACAGCTGATTCAGAGTTGATTGATTTAAAATAAGGCAGTAACTACATAATTTTCTGTTAAATTTTCTATCGTTTTTAATACTTATGTCAGAAACGGAAGGCACGGATTTAAAAGGAGTTGTTCGGCTTCGAATAGATAAAGTTGCTGAGCTTGGCGCAGAAGCAACATTTTCACCAGCCGAGAAAATTGCTAAACTTCCCTGGTTATTTCTTAAAACATGCTAAATTAATTAATTTCTAAAATTTTAGGAGATTAGAAGTACTGAAAACTGCAGGTGAAGGTCAGCATTCTCCACCAACTCTAGCAGTTTATGTATGTTTTATATGTTTGTTTTAAATACTTAATATCTTTAAGGTATGGTGCAATTGGTTAAATAAGTCTAATAGTTGGTCATGTAGAGCTATTGTTAAATTTATAATCAAATCTCGCGAGTTGGACTTTGTCCGCAATTTTGAACATAATTTCTGTGCTAAACAACCATTTGTAAATTGGACAAGGCTTTTGGATCCTGGTAGTAGTAGCTATTCTTCTTCACATGAAAGTAAAGAATATGAAGACTCGTCTTTAGAGATTGAAGCGCAAATTTGTGTGAAAGAAATTATTGGATATGGGTTTGTTTTTTTATTTCTATCGTAATAATTATTAATTTTAAGCGTTCCAACAAAAGAAGACCAAATGTTTGTGAATGGGAATATATTTGTTGTGAATAAATTTGTAAGCAAAAAAGTAAATAAAAAATATTATTTAATTTGTTTAGCTTCTTGCTGCTCATTCTCCATATTTTCGAGCGTTTTTCTTCGAGGATCGCTTCCGCGAGTGTCAGACACAAACATTTGAAATTAACGATAAAGAAGTTGATGTGGATATGTTTGGTATAATGCTATCTTGTATCTACCCTGATAATGGGAAGCCTAATGGTTTAGTTTTTGCCTTTCTATGTCAGAAATATTTTAATTTTATTTTAGACAACAATGTTGAAACCATTCTTCAATTATGTGATAAATACGATCTGCAAGTGGTTAAAGAACGCTGCGAACGTTTTCTTATAGAAGATAGTCGAAAATGTTTTGTTTTTAAGTACAGAATGGCCGAGCAATATGGGCTTAGTTCTTTAAAGGTTTTTTAGATATATCTAGTTTTTAGTATTTTATCAAACTTTTTAAGTGTCATTGTTTTAATTCAATCAACCCAAATGAATTTTGCGCTCGTCTACTTGAAAATATCGCAGAATTCTCTGAACTCAATCCAAACTCTCAGAAAGTTCTTGATTTCCATTTGGCTAAAGTTTCTGAATCTGAGAAAAGTGAACATAATTTGGCTTCAATTCTTCAGAATGGATTGTTAATGAAGCAGATGCAACAAAATAAAATTATTTAAGGCATAATTTTTATTTTGTAAACCTCCCCATCTATTTTCCCCTCTACCTATGGAAATCCCCTTGATTTTTCAGATTTTTTTATAGACTGATATATTTTTATTTTATTTGTCATTTCTTTATTTCCACCCATATATTTTCGAATTGATTTTATATTTACATGTTTTTTTAATTTAACTAGAATAATAAATATGTTTGAAGCTTTTTGTTTAATATACATATTTGTTATGGAAAGCATAAAAATTTCCTTTTTGTTAGCGCTTTTTTTCATTGACCTTTTTTCTTCCACAAAACGGTTTTTCAGTTAGTTTCAGTCGTGTTTTGACTGTTTTTCAGTCAAAATTGACCCTGCTTTGACTGTGAAAACACGGTCAGTCAAAACATGAACAAAAAACAAAATGTAAAAAATTAATCCTCTTGCATCATTTTTCCTTACGGCAAAACAGGGTTGCGTCGTAATTACGATTACGAATTACGGCGTTTTTTCAGTTACGAATTACGATTATGAAAAATTTTTTTTTAAATTACGAATTACGATTACGAAAAAAATTTTCGATTACGACTCAACTCTGCGGCAAAATCAGCATACATTAAAAACTAAGGAAAAAGTTCCCCATTTTTAACTTGAAGAAGAAAGGAGGAAAAATATGATTACGCACCTCATTTGCGATAGGGCCGCAAAAACTCAAAATTTCAAATTTTTTGTTTAATCGGACTCGTCTCTTCGAGCTGAGTCGATTGGTATCAAAATGATTACGTTCCGACATCTTTAGACTAAGTTATGGTGTCTGCTTTATATACGGAAGTCTAACCAATCGTGTATTTAATTGATCATAACCGTGTCAGGGCAGTTCTTCGAACGGACACGACTTCGACCGACAAAACTTCGTCGGACTAGCACTTTTTCCTCATTTTTTCTAGTGACCAGTAAAGCGCAAGATTACCAAATTACCCAAATGTTTGACCATGCAAAAAATCTTCGTTTAAATGCAGATGTAATTGAAATTGAAAAAGACAACAAAGGGCGTATCGGTATTGCTATTGGAGGAGGTGCACCTATTTGTCCATGTCTTTATATTGTTCAAATATTCGAAAATACACCTGCAAAAAAGAATGGACTTATTGGATTGGGAGATGAAATTGTGTCAATAAATAGAGAAAGTGTTAGAGGATTCGAAAAATCTGAAGTTGCTTCATTAATAAAGGAAACCCAAGGTTTGTTTTTCTAAATTTATAAAATTTAATCTTTATTTGAGGTCCAATAAAAATTTCATTAAATCGTCTCCAATTTGATTCTGAAAGCGCCTCACTAACTATTGATATTTTGTTGAAGAAATTTAAACATCGATTTGTAGCTTCTATTGATGATGATACGGCTGATGCTTTGGGGCTTTCCCGAGCTATTTTGTGTAATGATGTTCTTGCAAAACTTAAAGAGCAATTAGAAGCTAACCAAAAATTCTACAGAAATTTAATTAAAAAATCAGAAGAAATGGCTAAATATTATCATGCAATATATGACACACAAAATTGTATTGGGAGTGTTTTTTCAGAACTTTCGATCAAAGAAGTAACAGGCGAGGAAGTTAATCTCAAGAAGGACTTTACTGGTCTCTCAGATATTCATAAACACTTAAGCACTGGTCATCATTTATTCTCCAACAAATTAGAATCACTCGTTAAAGCACTAAAATGTCATGCTGAAGCAGCCATTCCAGATGTTCACCAAACGTTAACAAAATATTTGGATGCAAAATATGAATATTTAGCATATTGTTTACGTGTGAAGGAATTAGAGGATGAAGAAGCCGAATATGGAATGATTCAAGAACATTTACCAAGAATGCAAACAGGGAATTACGAATACCGAGCAATGCTACGACATAGAGAACAAAGCCGTGAGAATTTTTTGGAGAAGAGAAAAACGGTTGCAGTAAAAATTGAGTTGCTAGATGAAAGACACGGTTAGAAATATTTAAAAAATTATTTTTCTAAAAATTATTAAATAATTTTTAGTTCGAGAGTTGGCCCTGCAACTTAAGAATTTGATTAATGAAATGAGAGATATGCATGTTAAATCACGTGATGAGATTTCAAAAATTATGTAACCTATTCTCCGTTCTGTTGTTTTATTTTTTGTTCTTGAAAATTTCCCAGAACTCTAAAAGTCGTCACTACTTAAGAATCCCAACTAGATGATCTCTTTTAAAAATAAAAATAATTATACCCGTATACATTTTTTATTTTTGAGCGAATTGTGCGCTTTTTTCTTTTTTATAATACTTATCTATTTTTTATTATGTATTGTACACAAATTAGTAAATTATGAAACATGGCAGAGTTCACCACAGATGAGTTGATTGATTGTATTCGCCATAATGTTGCTCTATTGAATGATAGTGGGTTTGATAGCAGAGTGTTACTTTCTCCAAGGAGGTTTAATTAGAATATTATTTTTGGTTTTGTTGGGTTATGGGCTGGGTTTCACCTAAAATTTTTTATGGGCTGGATGTCTAGTTATTTTTCGGGCAACGTTTATAAATTTTCAATTAATAAGCTTGCGTATTTAATTCGCTATTTTATATAGCTTTCTGACCGTTTATTCCTGGCTGTTTATGTAATAAATTTGTTTATGTAGTTATTTCTTTGCAGGCACGCTGTACCAGGTGGTCTTCCTTTAGAAATGTGCAAAGGAGAAGACGAGGCAGGCCCTTCATCTCTACATTACGAACTTCAAAAACAATTTAAGCAACAAAAATATTCTTCAACAAAAAATGATTCTCAGCAAATGTATCAACAAATTCGCAAAAATTTACTGGCACAACTGAATGGAATTGAACGCAGTGGACGATTATTTAATAAAACTGCACTTCCTTTCAATCAAAGGCCTACAGAATGTACATTAAAGTTTGAGCCAAAAAATCCTGAAGAACTCCTTGACGGGCAAAAACCCCTTTCACTTACTAGCAGGTTCTCTTTTATAATAAAATTTGAAAATCTTTCTCTTTTAGACTTATTTCTCAAGCAAAATTCTCTGAAGGAGCTGTTGATAATCCGACTTGTTCTCTCTCATTCGCTGAATTTGCTAAGTTTGAGGCTATGGTTTTTTTACTTTTCTATATAATTAATGAACTTAATTTTATAGGAAGGCATTTTCAGCTCTAAGAAATTCAACATTCTTTTTCCGGCTGTATACTTTGGGGAGAAAGGTCATGTATTGACAATTTACATTTTGAACACTGCTACTATTGATGATCTGATTGGGCTTGCTTGCCATGTTTATTCCCGGAAGTCGCTCAATCCTCCTTGGTATTTTTTTATAAAAATTAAGTTTTTTATTTGTTATAGGTTTTAAATTTATTAAGGCTATAAGTCGAATTTTTGCGATTTAAGTACTTGTTGTTGCTCAGTTGCTTTCTAAATTTATTTTCCGAGTTTTTTTTAATTTTTCTTGAAATATTTTTTTTTGTGCATACGGAATTTTTTACGTGATTTTTAATTATCTCGAATTATTTCGTCTTTACTTGATTTCTAAAATAATGCAATCTTTCAGCGAATCCCCTTCTCTTTATGACCTCTATTTAGCTGAAGAAGATTTGTCAGATTTCGATACTGATTTACCACCACAAGATAGGAGACGTCGTGTCGCTGATTGTGGCTTTCCTAATCTTGCAATTGTTAAACGTTCACTTGTTAGGAGACGTTCTTCACAACAGAGCCGAAAACTAGTTGTTCGAATGTATGTTTATTTTATCTAGAAATTAATTTCATTTAATATCCAATTTAGTTATTTAGTAGACGGGCGTTGTTATACTATGGACGAAGTTGAAGGCATTTCTCTACGTCAAGTTTTTGAATATGCCTTAAGTAGAAAAAACGAAGACGAGCAGTCAAATTCAACTGAAGCTAATCAACTGCATGAATTTTTTCGTGGTAAGAATATTTTTATATCAGAAGTGCTTTTTTCTTTCAAAAGATGTTGAATATCAACTCGAACCAATCGATTATCCTGGTGTTGCTCTCGAACTAGATCAATCAGTTTCTTCTGCTGGCACTTTAGACTTTTTGCTTATTAGAAAGAATAGTTCTCGTGGAGATTTTGACATTTCTTTGGCAACTCGAAAGCCTTCGGATTTATTGCCTTTATTGCACAAACAAAGCAAGTCAATGGATTTTTCTAGGATGTTAGGTGTAGATGATATGCAAAATATATCAGTGAAAGAAGATTCAAAAATATTTTCAACTTCAATCAACGAATTGGGTAGGAATTTTTAATGTCTAAAATTATGTATATTTTAATTTTAGGCCTTCAAAATCCATTACAAACATTTCCATTAGAAACATCTTTTTCTACTTGCCAAAATTCTTCACCAGATGATTTAATTGCCAATCAATTGACAAATATACTTTCTGGAGGTCCTATATTAAATGAATATTCTGTCAACAAAATTAATCGGTTTAAACCAAAAACGCTTTTGAAATTAGGTTAGTTTATTTAAATATCTTTTTTTAAAGTAAATTATTTGCTTTAAATATAGTTATTCGTGAAAACTGTTTGGAATTGATTCAGAGGGGTAAGTTTCGAAAAGCTGACACTGATAGAAAAATTAAGAGGATACCTTGGAAACTTGTTGCTTCTGTTGAAGTGTCACCAAACTCAGAGAAGCGGGTTAATGGTACTATTTTTTGTTTATTTATTATTAAAGTTTAGTCATAAACTTTTACTTGTGGGATGAATTTTCGTTCTTCCCAGAAATTGAATAAAAATCCTGAAATCGATAATATTTTTTAACATTTTCGAAATTAAAATTTCGAAACATCTCTGATTTTGTTGTACTTTCTCCTCTCAATGCTTATAAGATTTTTTAAAAAATTAATTAAATTTTAAATGTTTATGGGTTTTTGTTTTCTTTTAAATTTATATTCATTTATTCTTTCAAGTCTCTTTTAAGCTCTTCGATTAGTTCGAATTACCTTTCTTAGCTGTATTTCATCTACACTTATGCAACATATTCTTGAATCTGAAAAAACAGAAAAACTAACTCAGGGAAATTTAGTTAAATTATTAATTTATTTTTAATTTATTTTTATATAATTTAAGATTTATGAAGGTTCTTGTTGGAAAATTTTAATTATTGAAGCTGCTGCACATGAAGCGTGGCAAATTGGTTTGAAGGTGATTTTAATACCTTAATTTAATTTTTTTTTAATTTAAATATTTAGTTAAACGAACAATTAAATTTGTGGCCTTCCCAAGTTCATTTACTTTATAACTACTCTTTAGCAAGTAATTTAAAACCAAAAATTGCTGCAGAAAAAGCATTTGGTACGGAAAAACAATTTTCTTCCTCAGCTTCGTCATTTACAATTTCAGCTAAAAGTGATAAAGGATTAAAGAAGAAATTGTCTTCAATACTTTCTAGAAAAAGATTATAGTTTTTTGTAGTAAATATTTACATGGCGTAAAAAACCTATCTTGTTTTACGATTAATAATTTTTATTAGAGTTTGATTTTTCAAATTCCCGGATTCTGTTCTAGGGTTTTTGTTGTAACCAGGGCTGGTCTTCAAGGCTAAAACCTTGAAATATCTGATTTTTGCACCAGGGCCCTGATCAGGCTTTTTTCTTAAATTGATAAAGATAAGTCAAAAAATTTTAAGATTCGAAAATCCTTTAATTTTTAATTTTTATTGTTTATTTTTGTTTTGGATATTATTTCACAATTCACAATCAACATTTTGTTAATTTCGTATTACCCGGTTATGTGTTCTATTTTTTTCTTATATTTACCTCTCATATATAATTTTATATTTTTGATGTATTTTATGTTCAAAAATAAATAAAATATTTTAGTTAATTGTTTTTTAAACTTCGCTTTTATTTAAAATTCCATTAATTTATTAAATAGAATTTTAATGAAAAAACATTGTCTTTAAAAATTTCTCAGAGAAAATATTAATTTAAACAATCACATTTCCTGTGGTTTAATGCTTTTCCCAATACACTTGCTTTTATCTTAAAGCTTTATCTAACAATACATAGTAACTTCTTTTAATTTATTAGGGGCGTTTTACATATTACATTATTTACATTTTTAAATAAATAAATTATTTTTATTTAAATTCATTCATCATTAAGTGATTTATTTTAATTAAGATTTCATTAAAGGAAATTTCATTTAATTAATTTCATTCTTTAAATTATTCCAACAAAGTTTCTATATAAATATCAAATTCATCCTTGGGTCATGACGCATGATTCCCTTTTTCTTTTTGTCCATAAAAATAAACATTAGGATATGTATGGAAATTACAAAATGAGTTAATAATTCTTTAAAAAAATTAACATATTTTTTTAATATATTTGTAGTTTTTTTTTAAATTTCTAATAATGTTTCTAATAAGGATTGAACAGTTAACTACAATATTTATTTGTGCTATTGTTTTATTATTTAATATAATAACAGGTGAATAATATTTAAATGATTTAAATAATTATTTTTTAAATTATTTTAAAGTTCATTATTTGTTTATAAGATAAAATATATAATGGACTTTAATATATATAACAATATTCTCACATTAGCTCAACATTCTTGCCTAAAATTTAAAATAATTTAGTTAAATCAAATGATGTTGCTTATCAACAACCATCAACATATCTTAGTCCGGCTAAGGAAAGCTATTATGAAGGCCCAAACGAACATGAAGCTAATTTGTTAAAATGTTTAAAGGAATTGGGGGAAATAAAAAAGAAAAGCGGTGATTTCTTTTAAAAATAATTTTTTATTTTAATAATTTTAGGTGAAGATTATAAATATTCTTCAACAAAAAAACCAAATTATAAGAGAAAAGAATATATCAGTGAAGAAATTGATTCCTATGAACGTGATTTTCCGGCGAATTATGAAGTAAATAAATTTAATTTTTATAAATTTATTCATTTTTATAGCCAGCTTTTCCATATGAGAAACTTAAAATTTCTGACGTTATTTATCCGTAAGAATTCTGAATTTTAAATTAATTTACAAGATAAACAATTTTTCTATCCTCTCTGACAAAATTAATCTTTTTTAGATTATTTTAAAATTATAATTTTTAAATAAAATATTTAAATATTAATATTTGTAGACTAAAACACAAAAAGAAGAATTATTACCCTGAGAGGAAAAACGGTAATAATTTACTTAAATTAGCTTTAATAAAATTTAATTTAAAATTTTTTTTCGCAATTTTTGCATTCTAAATATTTTTTATTAATTTATTTAATAGATTATACAACAAAAACTTCATATCCCAAACCTGAAACAACTTATAAAGAAGAAAAGCCAGAAAATAATTATGAAAGTAAGATGAATTATAATTTTAAGACTTTTGAGAAAAATATGAGAAAAAGTATTAATAAATAGAAAATAAAAAATACAAAATATAGAAAAATATTTTTACAATTATAGTAGTAAGTTAACAAAATTTTTTGAATAAACTTTTTTAAGAAATATTACTACTAATTAATTAATTAAAAAAGATAATAATGGATATGAAGAAAATGAGAATAATTACAACAATAAATATCCTCATGAAAACTCTCAAGAGAATTACAATAGCCGAAAAGATGAAGAAAAACATTCATATGAACATTACAATAATGAACACAAATCCGAAGAAAATAATTATAAAGAAGAGGATTATCAACATAAAGAGGAACATTTAGAGGATCCGTTCGGTAATAATTAATTATTTTAAAATTTGGAGCAAAGAGTTTTTTGAAAATTAATTTTTAAATATTAATTTTCTTCCAAAATTTAAGATAATCATTACGAGCAACAACCAATTATTCCTGCCCAACCTCCCCCTGATCAACAAATTGTACAATTACCACCCAATTTAGCACCTCTTTTGCCTTCTAATTTATTTCAAGGAGGAATGGAAGAACCAATTTTAATACCTGCCCAACCTCAGTCACCAGAACCACAAGAAAAACAGCCAGAGCCTTTACCACCTAATCAAGCACCTCCAAAAGAGGTGAAAATATAAAAATTCTTTTTAGAAAAATTAAAATATTTATAGGCACCTAAACCAGATACAGCAATACAACCAAAAATTCCCACTAAAATTAATAGTAGATTAAATACCCAACCATTTATTGGCACAACAGACTGCCGACTTAAGCCTGTTGAGAATTGTAGTTCACGTGCTACATGTGAAAAAACTGGAAAGTCAATAGATTGTTCTATTCCTCCACACAAACAATCTATGATTTTTGATGCAGCTTCACAAAATTGTCGACATATAGATTCTATACCTGAATGTACTAGAGGTAGATAGAGGGATAAAATAAATAAAAATATTTTTTAAGAAATATTTTGTATTAACAAATCTCCAAATTGGTATTTGATTGGAGGAAATTGTACTCGAATTTCTTATTCTTGTGGGCTGGACAAGAATATGAATAGAAAACTTTGTGATAATATAAATGAATTAATTAATCCAGCAAAATTAAATGAATGTATTGACAAAAGAGAAATTCCCGGATGTTGAAGAAATTAAATAAATAATTGATAAAAATATGGAAATATTTTTTAATATAAAAAATAATTCTGTTTAATTTTAATTTAATTTTGAATAAATAAAATTTAATATAAAATTCATATTTAATTTTTTTAAATTTTTTAAATAATATACCTATATTATTATTGTTTATTTAACCTTGGAGTTCTTTACTTTTTATCAATTTATTTATTTATAAAATACTGTTTACCGTCTTGATTGACTGATTAAATAATGTAAATAAATAAATATTTAGTTCCACCCTTGTTATCATTTTATCTTTTAATATTTTTCTTTTTTAATTATTTTGTTTTTAATATTTAAATTAAAATAAATAATTTTTTAAGGAAAATATGAAAATAATTTTAAATAAAATAAATAATTTATTTATTATTTTCCTCATTTTATTATTTTTTAATAAAATATTAGTAGCTTTTAATTATTTTAATAATGAGGAATTTAATTGTGCTTCCCTTCCACCAGCACTTTGGTGCTCAAATGATAAAATTCAAGAAAAATGTCAAACAAAACAAAAATGTTTGGAATATATAAATTCTGTTAAAAATAAACCTGTACATATTACTTTACTTTTTGAGAGTCTTTGTATGTTTAAAATTAATTTATTTGCTTATTAAATTAAAAATCAGACAGAGATCTTTTTTCAAGTTTTTCTCTATTAAGAAAATACTAGAAATCAGACTTAGTAATGGACATGGATTTTGGTATCCGGATATTTACGGCGGATACAGGCGGATATTCGCAGGCATTTTTAAATTATCTGTATCCGTATCAATTAACAAATTTACTAGAAATATAATAAATTTTTTAAATTTCTTAGAAAATTTCAACTATAACTTGTATCTAACTTTAAATATTTTTTAATTTAAGGCCCAGACTGTCAAAACTTTATCTCCAAAAAGTTACTTGATTTTTGGTTAACCTATAAAGATTTTGCAAGAATTGAGTTTGTCCCGTTTGGAAATGCTAAAATACTTAAAGTTTAGAATAAAATTTTTATAAAAAATAATTTTTTAAATTAAAGAACGGCACAATTAAATGCCAACACGGACCAGAAGAATGTAGAATAAATAAATATGAAGTAAAAAATAATAATTTTTTTAAATAAAAATAAAATTAATTACTTAATTAGTCTTGTGCTATTCATTATATGCACGAACCTTTACCATTCATTCATTGTTTGGAAACAAAAATTGCAGATGGATTTAAACTTGAAAAGGCATCCAAACAATGTTATGCTAAATTACATTCACTTCCACATATCTACGACCAAATAACGTATTTTCTATTTTTTTAAACAAGGATTTAATATTTTAAATTAAAAAAGAGGAGGGCGAGGGGATTTATTAAAATATTGGTGACTAAATAAATAAATAATTTTAAAAAACTATTAGAAATTAATAAATAAATAAAATAGGTTATAAAACAAAAGTTTTTACCAATAATTTTTTAAAATTAATTTATAAAGGCATTGTTTCAATGGAGTAAAAGGAGATAAATTGCAAAAACTAGCTGCCGAACAGACATTTAATATTTGGCCAGATAAAGTTGGATTTTTAATTAAAAATTAGAATAAAAATTTGTTATTAGAAAAGCGAGTATTTACATTAAATTAAACGACTAATAATTTCTTTGTCAATTTTTAGCATGAATTTGTGCCTTGGATTTTAATAAACAATGTTAGTTTAAGCTCCCAACAATTTTTTATGCGTCAATTACCTACTTTAATTTGTCAAGTTAATTATTTAATTATTTCTTATAAAATATTTTTTTCCCAGGCGTATGTTGGGGATGGGCATATTAAGCAATGTGAAGCATTTGGAAGTGTTAACAATAATAAATTAATTGAAGAAAATAATGAAGATGGATCTGAAATGGATAATAATGAAGAAGAATATTTTTTATAAAAAAATAAATTTATTTATTTAATATTTTTAATTTTATAATCATTAAAATTATTTTACAAATTATTTACATATTTTTAAAATAAAATATATTCTAAAAAATAACCAAAGAATGCATTCGAAAGAAATAGAAATAACAAAAATTAAATTTTTTGGAATTGGTACAATAAAAATTCGATAAGTAAATATTTACTAATGCCCGGCACCAGACCTGATTTGAGTTCACTATTGCATTTAGAAATTTTTCGGTTGTTCAACTATATCCCGGATATGTTTAGCCATACTATTAATTTTTGTTTAAAATTAATTTATCTCTAATCAATAAAATCTTTTTCAAATCCTCAACTTTCTTTCTTATTTTTTCCTCAAATTCCCGATCAACTTTTATCTTAATCAATTAACTTAAGTAAAAAGGTAAGAAAACAAAAGTTGGTTCACTAACAGCACTCGATATACAGAGAAAAGCAGATAATATTAGCTGGAAAACTGCTGCTAAAAGTATTGATGAGACGTGGGGATTGGAAAATATTTAATGGGAAAAATGGAAAGGCGCAGCAAAAATATATTATTCTTGTAATGATCTTTTAAAAAGAGAAAAAGCGGATGTACATAATTCTTTACTTTTATAAATTCTATTTAATTTTCTCAACATAAATACCTTTTTGTTAAACAAAACATTTAGTCATTTTTGTTTTTTATTCATTGATCAAATGATCTTAAAAATTGATATTGAAATTTAATACTTAGCAATTTCGTCATTTAAAATTGATGTGTAGGTGAAGTGTCTAGGTAATATGAGTATTTATATAGTTTAAGTTAAATGATTTTTAAATAATTTAAACTTAAATTAATTTAAAATTAGGATTATTTTAATTTTATTTTTTAATATTTGAGAGAGATTTAAAGCTTGGAAGTCAAGTTCATATAGGGGGTTAACAGGTATATTTTCTTGAGTAAATTCTGTTGTTTCAACGATTTATCAACATTACAAGTGTATTAATAAAGATTAAATTAAATGAATTATTCCATTTATTTTTTATAACAGTTCCAGATTAAATATTATTTTAATTTTTTAAAGTTTTTATTATTATTAAATTATAGTTAAAAATACTTATATTTAAAAATATTTATTAAGTGTTTTCGGATGCAATTGTTCCTCTTTTCTTTTTTCTTCTTTAAACTTAGGAAAGAATATATGTATTGCCAACTGTCACCAGTCTTGTTTTAAATATTTTTGGCCAATAATTCCCTCAAAATTTCTCTTTTAGTATAGCCAATTGGTTAGAAATTCTACTAGAGCTCATCCAAAATAATTTTAAACAATGTCCATTCGACATATTCTTTGAACAAAATTTTAAATATAATTTTTAAAATAATAATTAATTTTAACTTAATAATTTTTAATTTCCCTAAATTTGAGTAATCTGACCTTGGTGGCCAATTTTTAAAAATTAAAAAAATTTTAATTTTTATAAGCTAAATGGACAGAAATTCCCTTATTAAACATCTCAAGCAAAATTTTCAAATTTATTTAATCAACTCCAATCCATTAACTATTTAATATAAAATCCTTATTTTTTACAATCCCTCACTTAACACATCCTTTTTCTCCTTCCTTTCTCATTTTATTACACTCACATACACATGTGGCCAAATAACAAGGAAATAATTAAGGATAAAATTAAGAGGATGAGCTAAGTTGATTTGTTGATTTCTAAGTTGATTTGATTTCCTAAGTTGATTTTGGAAATTTTGAAATTTCCTAAGTTGACTAAGTTGATTTCCCTTTACTTTTATTTATTTTTAAAATCCTAAATAGAATTGCTATAAATAAATATTTTTATTTTATTTTTTATTAAAAAACTAGGCAAATATTATTGAAATTGAGAATTTTTTGTTAATAATATTTGAATTTTACAAGATTAAATACAAATATTTTGAGATGATTTCTGTACAAATAAAATTAAAGCTAATTTTTATATTTTTTTCTTACAAATTAGTAAACCTAAGTCAGAACTTCTAAAAATTCCCGCATTTTTTTAAATTACAATTTACTAAATAATTCGACAAAACATTCAAATCTTTTTAGATTAAAATTAAAATAGAATTATTATTTTTTAAAATGCCACCAACAAAATCCTCAACAGAAAATATTTCTCAAGAAAATACCAAAGAAGAACAAGAAAATGAATTAAAAGAAAATAATAATAATACTAACAACAAATCATCATCATTAGATGCCTTATATGCAGCAGCTAGGGAGGAATTTGATTTAGATTTAAGTCCAACAGAATCGGCAATTAAAACATTAAAAGAAGGGAGGGAAATACAAAAATTAAATGTTGTTAGAAATTTGGGGGAATTATTTGAAAATGAACCGAAAGAAACGATTGAAAAAATTATACCTTTAATTCAGGTAAATTTAAAGAAAAAAATATTTAAAAAAAATAAATAAAAAAAAGGAAATATTAAATATTGAACCAAGTAATTTGGATATGCATTGTGAAGCAGCAATTGTTTATAAAAATTGTATTAAAGATAGAAAACTTAGAATTAAATGCCCGTAAGTGAATTTAAATAAATAATTGTTGTGAATTAAACTTTTAGTGAATTACCCGAAATATTATTAAATGCTACACTTGAAAATATTGAAATTCAAAAAGAAAATGGTAAAGAAATAAATAGAAATTATTTTTTAAATTATTTTTAAAGTTACGGCCGCTGCTTGGCTTGAATCGTTAGTAGATATATCTGAAGCTGTATCTCAACGTTCTGTTATTTCTGTTGTAAGTTAATAGAAAATATTAAGAAAAATATTTTTTCGATTAAAGAGTCCTCTAATTACTTTCCAAGTTTAATTCTCGTTCATCTATTTTTAATGGAAATTCCCTTGTTCCCTCTCGAGTAAAAGAATTAGTTTATTACCTTATTTCTTTAATACATTTATTAGTATTTTATTTAAGCAAAGAAAAAATAAAAAGAAAAAAAAACTTGCAAATATTTTAAAAGAAAAGTTTTTTTTATTTTGTTTTTATAGTCCCTAAGGGGATGTAAAAATACTTGTTGTTTTTTAGTATATTTGGATAAAAAGATATTGGAACGGAAAAAGGAAAGAAAAAATATTTTTATAATAACAAAGTAATATTTAAAAATAAAAATAAATATATTTGTTTATTTCCTAGACAACGATGAAATTTAAATAAAAAAAGAATCATTTTTAGATTGTTCCTTTGGCTATTTCTCAATCAGATTCTTCTAGGAGAGTTCAGAGACGAATTATCTCAACAAGACTTATTGAGAAACTGGCGGCTTTAGTGCCTAAAGAAATGTAAAAATTATATTTAATTTTTATTGAATTTAATTTTCAAGATATGATTTTTCACCCCTCCCCCAAAAGGGGAGTATTATTTAACGGGGGAGGGGGGAGGGGAGTGCTAATTCAGGGGGGCTATTTTAGGAAATACGGTGCATGGTTAATTAAAAATATTTCCATTTTTCAAAATTAGTTTACAAAGAGAACTTTGTCCATGTGTCCAAATGCTTTGTCGAGATCCAAGTACTTCAGTACGCACATCTATTGCACAGCGGCTTGTTTTTATTGCTCAAGCATTAAAGTAAGTAAAAATTTAAATTAATTTTAAATTCCCTCCCCTTCTTCAATTAAAGCAATTCTGCAGACAGCAGTTCATTATTATTACCTTGTATAATTGAACTTTGTAAAGATGAGGACCCAGCTGTTCGTGAAGCAACTTTAGGCACATTAGATGATTGTTTACCCCATTTTAGTAAAGGTAAAAATAAATTTTAATAATTTTTTAAAAAATCCTTTTTAGAATCAAAAAAGTCAATATTATCCCCTCTTTTACATAAATGTGCAGAACAAGCATTAATTATGAGAGATTCAAGTTTACCTTTAATTGCTAAACATTTGGGTGTTTGGTTACAATCTATGAAGGAAATAATTTCTGGACCATCAGAAATGCGTTGGTGGTTGGATGTTTATACTAGAATTTTGGATTTTGGAAATAATTTTAATAATAATAATCAGCAACAACAAAGTAAATTGAAATTATTTCGAGAAAAAAATTTAAAAATTTTAAATTTTCCTTTACTAAATTTAAATTTATAAAATTAGTAGATAGTAGGTTGGGCGGATCGGGATCCCGGCATAAAATCGGAATTTTGGTTTCGACTGTGGGATCGGGATTGGCCAAAATCTGGATCGTGATTCAAAAAAACCGGGATAATCCCGCCCAATCCCGACCGGGATCCCGATCCCTTCAGTTTATCATGAAAAGAATGAATTTTTATTTTAGATTTTCTGTATAAATTTAGTTAATTTTCTAATTAATAACTTTTATCCATTTAACTTTTCATTTTCTAATAAAAAATTATTAATTTAAATAATTTTCTAATTAAAAAGATTCAAAAAACAAATCTTTATCAACAAATAATGCAAATACATTTTCTACAAATGGTTGTATTCACAATAATGCAGGTTCTGCTGCAAGTTATGAACATTTACGTACTTGTTGTAGAAGAATGTGTGCTTATAATTTTCCCGTAAATTTTTAAAAATAATTTTTAATTAGAACTCTTTTTAAAAGTGTATTGTCTCAGTATTTGGGCAAGACCAACAATTATTTTGTCAGAAATTATTGCCTATTTTGGAAAGATTTTGTAGAGATCCTGATGAAGAAGTGCGGAGTACTGTTGCTTCTGGATTTCATGAAGTTTTGGCTCAGAGAAATTGTTTTTTTGAAGGAGGTAATTTGACAGGAAATATATGGTTAATTAAGGGAGATAAAATTGTATCTTGTAGTATTAAGTAATTGCTAACTTAAAGTGGGTTGGTATTGAGGTTATTCAATCTGTAACATTTTTTGCTAGATGTTCGTTTTATCTAAAAATTATTTAAACTGATTAAAATTTTATTGGCGGAAAAGTCTGCATTCTATAAATAGTACATTTATTTATTAAACAAAAAATAATAGTAATCGTTGAGAATTTGGAAAGGAAAAACTTTAATTTTCGTTCAAAAAATTATTTCTTTAGCCTCAACAGCAAATTTAAAATCCAAACAAAACGAACAACAACCACAACTTTTAAATTCATTTGTTGAATTATTATCTAGTAGTAATGGAAGTAGTGAAGTTGTTCAACATTTAACTGGAAATTTAGAGAAAATTTTACCTTTTTTATTTAAAGAAATAAATTCTAATGAAAATAAGAAAAATGTAAATTTAAAATAAATAATTTAATTATTAAAATTAATTTTTTAGACAGAAAAACTTCAAACAAAATTAAACCAATTAATTATTAACTGTAATTCATTATTGAGAGGTACTGGGTTTTGGAGAGCTCATGAATCTTATTTAAATTCTATTGCATCACTTAAAAATCTTTTAAGTATTCGAGAAATTAAACAAAATTTTGTGCCTTTATTAAAACAAGAAGTACTTAATGCGGTAAAGAAATATTTTAAATTTTTGAAAAATTTATTTAATCATACAGTTTAACCTTTATTAATTGCCCACCCTCAAATAAATAGCATACTTCCATTAATTACCCCATCCAGCGATAGATTGAAACAATAATTACCCCCTATCAAATACCCTAAAACACGTTTAAATTTCAAACCTCGTATAATTACCCTCCCTCGATTAATTACTCCCTCCAGCGGAAGGCCGAAACAATAATTACCCAGGGTAGTTATTAAAGGATATACGGTAGGCAGAAATTGTCTTTTCTCTTTAAAAAAATTTTTCAATTGTTTTACAAAACACATGTAGGTAAATTCTTTTAAAACTTTAGAAAGCCCTTCCATGTCGAGTAGCAGCTGCAAATTCTCTGTTACTTTTAATGCGTCAATTGCCCGTATCTTCTGATCGTCTTGATATTGTTAAATTCTTTACTGAAGGGCTTGGACAACATTTGAGTTGTTATAGAAGAAGAATTTTATTGGATATTGTGCCTACTTTATTACATAATTTTAGTAGAGAATTTTTTGTTGAACAATTTTTGCCTGCAATTTTAAAGGTTTTTATTGGGGAATTTAGCTATATTATTATAAATTTATTTTAGCTCAGTTTGGATCCAATATCTAATATCAGGTGAATAATTAATTAAAAAATTACATTTCCTCTCTCTTTTTTTACCGCAATCCCCGTTCCTCGTAAAATATTTCCCCGCCCGTGGGGGGATATAAACTATGCGTTTATATCCCCCCACGTCCGCAAAAATTTGTCTGCACTTTTTTCCTTCTTTTTCCTCTCATAAGGATTGAAAATGGTCAAGTTAATAAACCCACATTCTCTCTTTCTTCTCCTTACTTCTTTTCTCATAAATACATAGAATTGCTATTTTTGTGTCTGTCGTCGGTCTAGTCTTTTTTTCAGGCTTTATTTTTAGAGTAAGTCGAGTACCGAGTAATTGGGAAAAACCGAGCTCGAGTAATCCGAGTATTATAATCCCGAGTTCCGAGTCGAGTAATTACGCAAAAAACCCGAGCGGTCGAGTCGAGTAACTCGGGCTCGCTCGAACTCGACTTACTCTACTTATTTTTATCGAGTCGTGCCGTACGTGTCTTGTTCGGACCTTTTTATAAAGATTCATTTTAAAATCATTGTTAGATTGGAGTGATATTGTTATGTCCGAGGGTGTTTCCGTGTCAAATATCATAGGCTCGACTCGATACTTCGATCCGAGTCGGTCCGTTTTGGACCGATTCGGATTTTTTGGACCGACTGTCATTTATATGAATGATACTTATTGTATTTGACGTTTTTTAGAATCTACAAAAAAATTCTTGAGCTTTGTTTTTACTTGACCATTCTTAATATTTATGAGAAAGGAAGAAGCAAGGAGGAAAAAAGAGAATGTGGGTTTATTAATACTTACAATTTTTAACCCTTATGAGAGGAGAAAGAAGGAAAAAGTGCGGACAAACTTTTGCGGACATGGGGGGATATAAACGCATAGTACCAATTAGGGTTGGTTTTGGTCGGTGACTGAGAATAAGATTTGAATATAAGATCATTCATAAATTAATAAATTTGTTTTTTTTCTCAAAATATGTTGTAATTATTTTTTTTTAATTAACTAAAAATTCCATAAAAAATTCCAATATAAACATTTAACTTTATTAGACTTCAACTTTGTCGAACACTTTCAACTATTCGACGATATTTAGTTTTCCCTAAAGATGATGAATGCCTTTCTAGCCTGGAAAGAACTGTTCGGGATTTGTTAGCTTCTGAACAAAATCCTTTATCTCGCCAATTAATCCAACAATTTGCTTGTGAACTTTCAAGAACTGAAAGTGACAAAAAAGAATGTAGAGCAAATAGAACAAAATTGGCGGAAGAAAAGAAATTATGGACAGAAGTGGAAGAGAAGGAAGAAAAAGAAGAAGAAAAGAAAGTGGAAGTAAAGGAAGAAATAAAAATAAAGGAAATTAATAAAGTAAAGGAAGAAGAAAAAATAAAAGAAATAATTCCCAAAAAAGTGTTAATTAAAAAGAAAAAACAAAGAGAAAGGGAAACAGGATCTCCGGAAAGTGGAATTTTTATTGATGAAGAAGAAGAAAATAAACAAAAAAATAAGGAAGAAGGAAATGGACTTTTAAGGTCGGCAACAACAACAAATGTTCCTGTACATGTTTTGGATGTAAAATAATTTAAATAAATTTTTAGTCCATTAAAATTGCGGTTCAACCCCCGTTCCCCAGGGAGGTAATTCCCCGGGAAACAGGGAATTTTTTTTCCACGCGGTTCGAATTCCCCGAAACCCCCGTTCCCCGTAAAATATTTCCCCGCCCCGTAAAATTGAACCTTAATTAAAATTAGGGCTGGTTTGGGTCGGTGATTGAGTATAAAATCATTTTAAAATTAATAAATTTGTTTTTTTCTCAAATAATATTTTAAAATTTTCTAGCCCCCTTCAAAACACACCTCTGCTCAAATTCCTCATTCTCTTTCTTCTGATACAATTGCTCAATTGGCTGCTTATAAATCAACATCAAAACAACCTTCTTCTTCAATTCCCCCACCAGTTCCTCCAAAACCAAATCGTTGTCCACCTCCTCCAACAGAATTATCTCTTCCTCCACCAACATCGTCTTCATCTTCTGTTGGCACAGGCGGTTGGCGAAGGAATATTCCTTCTTCTTCATATTCATCACCAACTTTTTCAGTTAACTCTTCAAACCCAAAAATGGCAATAATAAGACCCCAACCACAAGTAACAGTTGTTCAACGTGCTTGTTCACCTATGCCTTCTGGCGATAGAAAAACTAATTATTCTTCGATGATTGGTTTAGAAAGAGGACATAGTAGAGATAATAGTGCAGTGAGAGAAAATAATGTTGGCGGTACTTATTCAAGAAATTCACGTTTACCTCTTTCTACAGGTTAGAACTTTTTCTCAAAAAAATTTTTCCCTTACTTTTTAAAAAAAATATATTAAGCTCGTTATCGTTCCAATACACCAACAACAACCCCAAATACTCAAGTTCAACATTTGGCTAACAAATTTATGGGTTCAGGTGGTGATGGCACTGAACCAGTAACAGATTCCTTACGTTTAAATAAATATAAACCAAGAAATTCTGTTTCAACATATTCCTCCTCTTCTTCCTCAAATTCTTCCCCAAAAATAAATACTAAAATACAAACAATGAGCCGTTCAGCAAGTGCTCTTCCACCCCCATCTACTACTCGCAATAGACGTTCTGTCTCTCCAGGAATTAATATTTTAAATCAAAATTCTTTACAAACATCAACTTCTTATAGCTCTATTTCTGCTGCTGCAGCATGCCAAAATTCTGGGAATGGAGTTAGAATAATACAGCAACAACAAACACAAAGACGTCCTTATGGATTAATGAGAGTTCAAAGCACAAGTAGTGCTGTTGAAAGAAAACCGGCACAGATTCGATGTCAAGTTATTAGTATGAATTAAAAAGAATATACTTTTTAAGTAAATAAAATATTGTTAAAAAAAGTTTTTAATATTTTAATTAATTCTTAATGTTTTTAATTATTTGCTCAAATTATTTAAATATATAAAAATTTGTAATAATTTTGAAGAGAAATATTTTTAATATTTAAATTTTAATCTAGAAAAAAATTGTTTAGAAATACATATTCAGTGGTATTTCTCTATTTTGTACCTTTTTTTAACTCGAGACAAATCTTATTTTTAAAATTTAAATTTTTGTTTCAAAAGTCAATAATTAAAGGATAATTAATTATTTTATTTTTTATATTTAGAATATTTCTGTATATTTGTTAAGTTTGTTATATTTGTTAAGATAGAGGCATTATAAACCGATTAAACCAGAAGAATATTTTTGAAAATAAATTTTTTATAAATTAAAGAAGAACAATTTTTTAATAATTTTATTAAAAAAATTTATTTTGAATATGTATGTATTTATTAATTATTTGAATATACTTTTTAGGGTAATAATAGAAAACAATTTTTAAAAAGAGATAGAGGCATTATAAACCGATTTTGTTGATTAATTAAAAATATAAATTAAATAAAAGAAAATATGTGGATATGTAAATATATTTATAGAGATTTTTTTAAAAATTATTTTGAGATCAAATAATTAATTAGAAAGTAAAGGAATTGTGACTTAGATTTGAAAAAAAAAACAAAATTAGTAATTAATTAATTAAACAGAATTATTTTTGCCTTCCTTCCTTTTTTCTTTAATAATTTTATTCAAAAATTATCGCCTCTTTTTTCACTCCAAATTTTTCTTTCCAACCAATAACACAAAGACAATCGAATGGCAAAAGAACTAAATCAGGTTTATATCCAACATTATTTGAATGGATTTTGGAAGAAGAATGGTGACGAACTAAAGCATTAACCCAACCTTTAAAATTAATTTCTTTCTAAAATTTAAAATAAAAAAACTCAACGATATGTATTTACACAATTAGCCCCAACAGCACATTCTTTACATTTACTTTTCTCAATTGGCATTTCATCGGCAGAATGTTCACAAAATTTAACTTGAAATTTAGTGTTTGGATGTAAATAAACTGGCTCTTCAGTTGTTTTACCTTTAAAAAATTATTTTCTTTAAATTTTAAAAAATTAAATCCAAACTAATTGAACGAATAATTGAAGCATTTAAATATTTAATTTTAGAGCAAACACTTTCTTCCTTCACTTCCTTCTCCTCCTCTTCTATTAAATTATTAGAAATATCAAAATCCTCAATTTTTTCTGTTAATTTTAAATGAAGTTTTCCTTAATTTAAAAATATTTTTTAATGATTTAAATTAATTAAATACCTCCAAGTAAATATAAATTTTTATTTCCATTAGTTAAAGATCGACAATTAACTGAAGAACAACAAACAAATAAAAAGAAGGTAATTATTAATAAATTTTTTGTAGAAAAGCAAACAGTCAAGAAATGGCAAGACATTATTAATTAATTATTTTTTTCTAAATTAAATTAAAATTTAAATTATTGGAAAGTTAATTTAATGAAGGAAACACAAAGTTAGTCTTAATTGTGATAATAAAGCATATTAATTTTTTAAGTGAAAATCAGAAATACCGTATTTTTTGTATTAGAGCCCCATGGGGCTCTATTTTTCAACTATCCTTCAAAGTGGGGCTTTATTACAACGTGGGGCTCTAATAGAGCGTGGGGCTCTATTTTTCAACCAATTTTTGAAAATATATAAGGGAATTTTCAATTATAAGTAAGGCAGTGATATGTATGCAACTGCCTATTTTTTACTCAAATGGTGAAATTTGTCACAAAAACAAATTTCACCATTGTGATATTTCTAAAGTTAATAGTTAGCGTGTACAGTATGGCACGATTATTTGGATTTGAGGTGGATTTAAAGCCGAATTTTAATTTGTGGATGGTTCGAATCCTATCGAGCCTTTGAAGGTTCGATTATATTTTGCTTCAGTCCGCACGGTCACTACGTGTATATATCTCGGTTCAGTCCCAATTGAAGAATATAGATGGGATTAAGGTGATTAAGAAGATATTTGGAGATTAATAAGGATATCGAGTGATTTTGAGAGTATAAATGATTTGGG